ACGCCAGCGACCACCCCTCCGAGGACGGTAAGTCCTACGAAGCTCAGCTCGTTCGGACTTTGGAAGTTCCCACTAAGGCTACGAAGCTTCGGCTCGTTCGGACTTTGGAAGTTTCCCCCAGGGCTACAAATAGCGTACGTAGGCCCGTAGATTAGGTAGTAATTAATTTGATTTGTTCTATTCAAAATACTGTATTTGCTGTGCTTCCCTCCTGACGTTGCGCCCAAAAAGTGTCAGTCCCGGCTACTCGAGATACCATACGATTTGTATGAGACTTCCGTATCCCGGTACTCCTTTCAACAGTTAGAGGGTGGAGATCCCCCACACGTATACGCCAATCTATCCTCGAACTACGGAGAGTAAACTTATATACCCTGCAAGTAAGCGAAAAAGATTAATATACCCTGTACTAACTATTAATAGGATTCCACTTTACGCGTCGCGCGTCCACCTCCTTCCCCCACGGCGACCTTCGGAAGCACTCGACGAGACGTCTCTCCCTCCCTCCCTCTCCCTTTGGCCGATATGGCCTCACTCGCAGGGCTCTCGGTCCCATCGGATAAGGCCGAGTTTCTCAACCTCGACGCCCTTGTTCGGGCCCTTGACGACTGGGCTGTCAAGGGCAAATTCTCCTTTTGGACGGAGAAGAGGGAGGCTACAAAGGCCTCCTTCATCTGTGCAGAGAAGGAGGATGGGTGTAGCTGGCGATGCCGAGCTACACCCACCTTTTACGATGATGATGAGGAGCCCTCGTTATGGGCCCTACTATTATCGAGCCAGAGCACTCCTGCATCGGCCGAGGAGTGCGGAAGTCTGCCTCCTCGTCGAAGAAGGCTTGGCTAGATCCGGTGGTCTCTCGTCACCTGAATGTGACGACGAAAACCACCCCAAAGGAGATTAGAGATCTCCTCCGCATTCGATTTGCGGAGGAGATTGACTACAAGAGGGCGCAGGAATGCTGCCTACGCCTTCTTGATGGCGATATTGGCGCCCAACGGCACAGCTTCCAGCTGTGCCGTGCCTACAAGGAGCTCCTTGAGAGGAAGTCTCGTGGGGCACATGTAGATCTCCTTCAGGATATCCACATGCGCTTTAAGCGCATCTTTGTTTGCCCTCAGTTTCGAGGGGCACGTTTACTCTATGCCGCCGGCTAGTGGCAGTAGACGGGACCTTTTTAAAGGCCCGTTTTATCCTTACGTTACTGCTTGCCGTTGGTATTGATGCTAATGGCGAGCTTGTCCCTCTTGCGTGGGCAGTGGTGGAGTCGGAGAACGGGGAATCTTGGGGGTGGTTCTTAAACCACCTCCGTTTAGCTCTCCCTGAGCTTGTGATAGAGGAGAGCACCCTTGTCTCTGATAGAGACAAGGGGCTTCGGGAGGCAGAGAGGGGTTTGGGAGGGAGGTTGGTAGTAGCACATTGCTGCCACCACCTTAAAGAGAACTTCACGGAGAAGTTTGGAAGGGCGCTACAGCCCCTTTTCTGGGCTGCAGCACGGGCGAAGAGAGGGCAGCCTGGGATGGCGCCCTCGAAAAGATCCGAGCAAAGAAGCTGGAGGCGGCTCTTTACCTCGAGACTTGGGCAGAGGCTTGGTTTCGTGGCCGTCGATTTGGCCACGATACTAGCAACATTGCGGAGATCCTAAATCAGGTTCTCCGCATCGACCGGGAGCTCCCTATTGTGGAGCTCCTTGATGCCATCTGGCATCGAGTGATGGAGAAGCGGGGGCAGAGGTTGCTAGCAGCAACCTCTGCCATTACTGAGGGCCGGTTGACGACTCCGTTCGTCGACGCTAGGATTGAGGAGGGAAGAGAATTGGCCCGGAGCAACCGGGTCCAGATCTCTTCCCCAACAACGGGGAGGGTGGTGCAGCCAGACGGCACCATCTACCTCGTTGATACGGCGGCAGGAATATGTCCCTGCCGCTGTATCAACGAGGTCCTTGCCATTACACTGATCTTCGCTGGAGGGGGGCAATTAGCCCCCTTTCTCCCTGTTACAATGTCAGCTGCCCAATGGGCAGCTGCCTATGTTGTTCCTCTTACTCCGATTGATATATCGGAGCTGGAGGTTAATGCGCAGGACCCGTGTGATCCTCCGATTACACGGGTCCCGCGCGGGAGGCCTAGGAAGGAGAGGATTCGGCGAGAGGATTGCCGTCGACCTCGACGGCGAGATCCTCTTGTTGTCCGCTCTCGCTGCGGAACCTGCGGCGAGGCAGGGCACAATGCCCGGTGCTGTCGCCAGCCTCATCAATGAGGTTGGTGAGCTCAACTGGCCGTTATGGCTGTTTTTGGTAGGGGGGGGGGTTACGGAGGACTACGGCTTGGGGGGACTGGAGACTGGGGGGTTACAGGGCATATAGATCTTTTTAAAACATACAGGGTATATCGATCTTTTTACGCGTTGTACGGGGTATATGGATCTTTTGCCCTAAACTTATTCCAGGTCTACCCCATATAATTTCGGAAACCGCCCATAATCCCGTGCTAGGACTTTACCAACCGTGGGGGATCTCACCCCTCACCCTGACACCGGGATTGTGGAATTATATGGACGCATATCACCATCATGAGCAACTGATATTTCCTCGTTTTTCTATAGTAAATTGTACTAGACCAGTTGTCAAGGCTATTCTGGTCTGGATTCAATGCCACTCGTCCATATGTAACACAATCAATGCCACAGTTCTTATGCCGCCCTCTGTGTCTTACCGTGACTATAACACGCCGTCGGAATGACCTCCAACCTTTAAGTTCCAATGCCCGAGCCCGAGGTCGGACCGTGGAACGGATATAATCCGTGAAATCATTGACGCGCCTAGCAAGGATCATAAAACTTAGATCTGTCAAAGTGGCCATAAACTTTCTTATAACCTCAACCGTCACCCCGGCCGCTTCGCCTATATTAAGGTGAGGAGGCTGACCAGCTGTTCTTTGCGCCGTTCGAGCCTGTGCGCGGGCCAGTGGACAGGTTCTTGTTCTCGGCGGGCAAGAGCGATACTGCGTGGACGGTGGAGAAGTTGGGATCCGTGTGGAGATGGCGTTGGCTTACCCACGTAGGACGTGGTGGAGATGTGGACGGTGAAGGTAACCAATCCGTCGGGCCGTCCGCGCAAGATCAGCGTCTACCCGTATTTCCCATTCGGCAATATGTCATGGATGAACCAATCTGCAGAGTACCGTCCGGATCTGGGAGCCGTGGTGGGGACCAGCATTACGCCTTATCAAAAGGCGGAAGACTACTTCAAGAATAAGCTGCTGAAGGACAAATCTTACTTCCTGTGCGGGACGCCGCCTAATTCATGGGAGACTACGCAGAAAGTGTTTGAGGGCGAGGGCGGTCTACATGCCCCCTCGGCGGTGATGAAGCCAGGGCTGGGTGGTGGTGATGCGCGGTATGAGACTCCAGCTGCTGCTGTGCAGTATCGCGAGACTCTGGAAGCTGATGACCAGCGTGAATACCGTTTCCTTTTCGGGCCCGCTCTGGACGATGCTGAGATCCGCTCTATGCGTGAGAAATATTTTAGTAAAAAAGGCTTTCCGAGGCCGCGAGCGATTATGAACTTTCTCAAACCAGAAGTGGCACGGAAAGCCTTCATGATTTCACTTGCCCAGCAAGACCTAGATGGCGGGATGCCAGACAGCGCAAAAAGATGCTGCCGCAGGTAGACGAGCAGCTGAGCACGACGTACGGTGTCCTCATATTTGCTCCGCCGTTTAGCGGTATGCGCGAGGACGTGGGACGCTTGACGCAGAAGCGCGCTAGGTCTGCGGAAAATGGATCCGTGTACAACCAAGCGGCCGTCTTCTACATTTACAGTTTATACGGCATCGGGGAGAAGGACCGCGCTTATAAACTATTACGGGAGATGATCCCTGGGCCAACTGAAGAGGATTATTTACAGCGCGGGCAGCTGCCAGTGTTCATCCCTAACTACTACCGTGGCGCCTGGAAGGACTTTCTAAGAACTGCGGGAAGATCTAGTCAGTTGTTCAACACGGACGGGCACGGTGTCGTAGGCATAACGCTTTTGCCGAGGGCCTGTGGAGTCTGCGTGGTGATGCAAAGTGTAAGGGTCGTAAACCTACGGGAAGGTATCGTATTCTGTAAGCACAATAGGTCTACGTAGATATAGCGACTATTGACTGGAGGCCTTCTTCTGAGGCCTCCAGCCTCTTTTATCCAGGCGCCTTGCGCCCTACTTTACCGAGCCCTACGGGCCCTACCAAGTGGGCCTCACGTGGTGGCACGTGATGGCCTTCCTTACAGGAAGGGGTTGTGCATCGAAAGCCCGTCTCTACAAGCGTGTCACTATCAAGGTGACACGCTTGTAGAGACGGGCTTTGCGGGACATATAGAGAGAGAGTAATGCGTAAAGATCTATTTATCATCCCATCAGCCGTAACCTGTGGTAAGCAATGTTCACTAGGCGACCGCGTGACATTAGGCGCCAAGAAAAAGTTAAAACCCATTATTTTCATATTTCCCCTATCGGCAATCCTAAAAATCTCTTCGCCTCTTCGCTTTTTACTAACTAACTCTACTGGCTACGCCGCACCCCCGAACTCGTCTCGCCGCGTTAGTCTAGTACTACTACGTAGGGCGTGGATCCTTGAATCCTACCACCAGCATGCTCGCATGTGCTAGGAAATGCGGCTTCTAATTCTAAGGTTTGATTTCCAATCAACTACCACACCTTGATTTATAATCCTTTTTCCCTGATCCCTTTCCGGTGTCTATCTGGTTGGTTGCCCTAGAGGCGTACGTAGACTATCTCCTTATTGCCTCTCTCCTAGCGTCTATGGCTCGTGGTTAGGCTGCATTAGTGCATCTTAGCTGCTCTTGACTCTTGTTTAGGGGCCGTTAGTGGCTCTTTCTCCCTCCTTAGTCACCCACTACTCACAATTACTCATCCTCCATCGATCCTTAGATCCCTGTGCTAGCCCCCCCTACGCCATCTCCCGCTGGTACCCTTGTTTTGTTTATCTATATATACATAAATCTCATTTCCCCAGCTACTATGAAGATTATCTCCAGAAACATACCCAGCTATGGCGACCCGCACTGAGTCTCCGTCTCCCATAGACGAGGACGTCCTCAGCTACAATGCCACACCGCTGGGATCAACTGCCGTCCACTCAGTCGCCTCAAAGGAGAGTATTCGTGGAGGAACATGGGGCGAAGATGGCGACCAGGAGGCTGTGTCCCGCCATGGAGCCATTGAAGAGTTGAGTGAGATGAGGAAGGAATTATCAAAGCTGGGGTCTCACAAGAGAACCCAATCGGCCGCAGGAAAGAGGAAGAAGCTGGCCGACGACGAGGCTGATATTGCTGGCGAGCCTGACGATTCAGAAGACTTCCAGCTCGACCGTTTTCTCTTGGGTGGCCAGCTCGAGCGCCGCACGACTGCTGGAGGTGCCGGTAAGAAGATCGGAGTCGTTTTCAAAAACATGACCGTGGTGGGAGTCAACTCCTCTGTTACCTTTGTAAAGACCTTGCCCGATGCGGTGTTGGGTTCGTTGGGCCCAGACCTGTACCGCCACGCATCCAATCTCATTCCTGCTCTCAAATTCAGGAAGGCGCCGCCGACGAGGAACTTAATACATGATTTTACCGGCGCTGTTCGCGATGGCGAGATGATGCTCGTCCTCGGACGGCCTGGCTCTGGATGCTCTACGTTCTTGAAGACCATCGCCAATGAACGTTCCAGCTTTGTGGCAGTCAACGGCAATGTCACGTACGGAGGCATTCCCGCTGACGTACAGCACAAACTTTACCGTGGAGAAGTCAACTACAACCCGGAGGATGACCAGCATTTCCCATCGCTCAATGTCTGGCAGACGCTGAAATTCGCTCTGATGAACAAGACCAAGAAACAGGACCAGGATAGTATTCCCATTGTTGCTAATGCCCTCATGAAGATGTTTGGCATCAGCCACACCAAGAAAACCCTTGTCGGTGATGCCTTTTCTCGTGGAGTTTCTGGTGGAGAGAGGAAGCGTGTCGGTATTGCAGAGACTCTGGCAACGAAATCTACAGTTGTCTGTTGGGACAATTCGACAAGAGGTCTCGACGCCAGCACTGCCCTCGATTATGCAAAGTCCTTGCGGGTGATGACTGATGTCAGCAACCGAACCACATTCGTCACGCTCTACCAGGCTGGCGAGGGGATCTACGATCTCATGGACAAGGTTCTGGTTATCGAGGAGGGTCGCATGTTGTATCAAGGCCCTGCTACCGAGGCCAAGGAGTATTTCGAAAGCTTGGGCTTTCTGTGCACAGCTGGAGAGACAACATCTGATTTTCTCACTTCTCTTTGCGACCCCAACGCGAGGCGCTTCCAGCCCGGCCGTGAGGCCTCCATGCCAAAGACTGCAGAGGAACTCGAGACTGTGTTTAGAGCTAGCGAGAGCTACAAGCGTCTCCTGCAAGATGTCAGTGGATACGAAGCCAGGATACAGGAGACCGACAACGCCGACACCCGTCGCTTTGAGCAAACTGTCAATCAATCTAAAAGCAAGCATGTCTCGAAGGAGTCGAGCTACACCGTATCATTCTACCGCCAAGTCATCGCGTGCACCAAGCGCGAGTTCTGGCTCACCCTCGGCGACAAGACGTCGCTGTATACTAAATTCTTCGTCATCATTGCCAATGCCCTCATCGTCGGGTCGCTTTTCTATGGGCAGGCTCTCGATACCAGCGGTGCTTTCTCTCGCAGCGGCGTGCTGTTCTTCTCTATTGTGTTCCCGGGCTGGCTTCAACTCACTGAGCTGATGAAGGCCGTCTCTGGAAGAGAAGTCATTGCCCGTCACAAGGACTACGCCTTTTATCGGCCCTCGGCAGTGTCGATTGCTCGCGCTGTGGTTGACATTCCCCTCATTCTCAGCCAGGTTGTTGTATTCGCCATCATAACCTTCTTTTTGAGCAGCATGGACATGACTGCGGCGAAATTCTTCATATATACTCTCTTCGTCTATGTTACAACTCTGTGCCTTACTGCGATGTATCGTATGTTCGCTGCCGTTTCACCGAGCATTGATGACGCTGTTCGCTTCGCAGGAGTTGCTCTCAACTTATTGGTTATATACGTCGGATATGTCATCCCAAAGCCCCTTCTCGTCAACAAATACATTTGGTTCGGATGGATTTACTACGTCAATCCTATATCATATGCCTATGAGGCCGTCATTACAAACGAATTTTCCGGACGAGACATGGTTTGCAGCGACTCGCAGCTGGTTCCTCAGGGGCCAGGTGCATCACGCGAGTTTCAAGGTTGTACGCTACCCGGCTCTGAGATTGGCAGCACCACGGTTTCTGGGTCTAGTTACCTCACCGCATCTTTTGGTTACTCGAGAGAGCATTTATGGCGCAATTTCGGTGTCGTGATCGCCTTCTTTCTTTTTTACACGCTTATTACAGCCATCGCTGCTGAGAAGATATCATTCACCGGTGGAGGTGGTGGCACGTTGTCCTTCAAGAAGACGCGCAAGGCTAAGCAGCTTGTTGTATCAGAGAAGGCAACTGTCGACGACGTGGAAGGCGGCAGCCAGCCTAACGCAGTGGTTGAGTCGACCACTATCAATGAAGGCGAGAAATCTGCCGAGAGGTGGAGCAACAGCGACCGTGTGTTTACTTGGTCCAATGTGGAGTATACCGTTCCTTATGACGGCGGCGAGAAGAAGCTCTTGAACGGCATCAGCGGGTATGTCAAGCCAGGTGTGATGGTGGCGTTGATGGGTGCCTCGGGTGCCGGAAAGACTACCCTTCTCAATACCCTTGCCCAAAGGCAAACCGTCGGGGTCATTAGTGGGGATATGTTGGTCGATGGCCGGGCCTTGGGACCTGATTTTCAGCGTTCTACAGGGTTTTGTGAACAGATGGATCTGCACGATGGGACAGCGACTATCCGGGAATCACTCGAGTTTTCGGCTATTCTTCGCCAGGATCGCAGTGTGCCCCAGGAAGAGAAGATAGCCTATGTTGACCAGATCATCACCTTGCTAGAGCTTGAGGATATCCAGGACGCAATTGTATCCTCTCTGGGCGTCGAACAGCGGAAGAGACTGACCATCGGTGTCGAGCTAGCCGCCAAGCCGAGTCTGCTGCTGTTCCTCGATGAGCCTACGAGTGGGTTGGACAGCCAGTCGGCATACTCAATTATCCGATTCCTGAAGAAGCTTTCTCTTGCAGGTCAGGCAATCGTCTGCACCATCCATCAGCCATCCTCCATGCTCATCAACCAATTCGACATGATTCTCGCTCTGAACCCGGGTGGAAACACGTTCTACTTCGGTCCTGTCGGCGAGGGTGGGTCTGCAGTTGTCAAGTACTTCGCCGAAAGGGGATTTGTCTGCCCACCTTCGAAGAATGTGGCAGAGTTTATCCTGGAAACCGCAGCCAAGCGAGGCTACAGAGATGGAAAGGTCGTCAACTGGAATGAAGAGTGGAGAAGTTCGAGTAATAACAGAGAGCTCGCCCTAGAGATCGAGCGCATTAATAGGGAGCGAAGCCAACTTCCTGCCCCAGAATTGGGCACTCAATACGAATTTGCAGCGCCCGTTATGTTGCAGACAACTATGCTCACAAAACGCCTCTTTACTCAATACTGGCGCGATCCCTCCTATATCTACTCAAAGATCTTTGTCAGCTTCGTTGCTGGTATTTTCAATGGATTTGTAAGTTTGCCGCGTTAACTTTGAGAATTTAACTAACATACCATTAGACATTCTGGCAGCTTGGCAACACTGTTGGTGACATGCAGAACCGCATGTTCTCAGTCTTCCTTATTGTTCTCCTCCCACCAATCATGATGAACAGCATCATCCCAAAGTTTTATACCAACCGTAGCCTTTGGGAATCTCGCGAACTTCCCAGCCGAATCTATGGCTGGATCGCCTTCAGCACATCCAGTATCCTCGGCGAGATTCCAGCTGCCATTTTCACGAGTTCCATCTACTGGCTTTGCTGGTACTACCCTACTGGTCTTCCAACTGACTCCAGCTCCGCTGGCTACATGTATCTCATGTCGATGCTATTCTACCTCTTCCAAATGAGCTGGGGTCAATGGGTTACGGCATTCGCGCCATCCTTCACGGTCATCTCCAACGTCCTTCCATTCTTCCTCGTCATGGTGTTTTTCTTCAACGGTGTCTTCATTCCATACGCCTCCTTCCCCGTCTTCTGGCGCTACTGGATGTACTACGTTAATCCCGTCACCTACTGGATCCGCGGCTCCCTCGCTGGCACTGTCAGTTCCACCCCGGTAATCTGCAGTCCGCTCGAACTCAGCCACTTCAACCCGCCACCGAACCAGACCTGCCTCGACTACGCGGGCGACTTCGTCTCGAAGATCGCCAAGTCGGGATACCTCGGCAACCCAGATGCCACGTCTGACTGCACGTACTGCGCGTTTTCGTCCGGAGAGGAGTATCTTCGCACACTTAATGTTCAGTCTGATGATAAGTGGAAGTGCATGGGCATTTTCCTTGCCTTCTGCATCATCAACTGGGCGCTGGTTTACTTCTTCATCTATACCACTCGTATTCGCGGGTGGAGCTTTGGATTGGGCTTGTGATCGCTTCGATCTCAAGTGCCATTGGTGCCGCTAAGAGCGGTATTATTTCTCTTTTTAAAGGTGGAAAGAAGTCTGAGAAGGCTTAACAACGGGCTTTATCTGCCCATATTTTTTTTTTACAATTTGTTGTGGATTTTATGCATTGCTTGCGGATAGATCTTTCTTTTTGGCGTTTGGGGAGATTTTTTAAAACGCGGATACCGATATAGAACGGGAAGAAAGCTGGCGTTTTATTTAATAATAATGGATATTTATAAGAAAAAACTTCGAGGATAATCATTTAATGACTTTGCAATAGTAGATTCTCCGGCCTATACGGAACTCTGGGGCTATTAAGAAATAATTAAGTGGCTAAATTATCACATGCCTTCATGGTTTGACACTGTCCTGTGCTCTCATGTCCCCACACATTGCACACAGCCCGCCTAAATAAATTCCGCTCAACCACAATCCTTAGGTAGTTTCAACCTTCTCACTATTCGTCGCTGATATATCTTTATGGGTCGAGTCATTCTGAGGCGGTATTTCTTCCCTCTCCGTCTTCTCCTCTACAAGTCGTGTCACACCGAAGAGGTTGTCCATTCGCTCCAGATGCCCTTGGTCTCAGGGACGAAGAACCATGTGAAGACGAACATGACGGCGCAGAAGGAGCCAAATATGAAGTAAGTCCTAAGAGGTTTCACGTCAGTGTTGTGATGCAACAAGAAGGGGATTGCTTCAGGTTTGAAGAAATAGTGAGGCATGCCCGTAACCGTTTGCCCCAACTGTCACCAACATAGTCAGCACGCTTTTGGCAACCACAAAATTGAAGAGCCATTGTGTCGCCGCTATAGCCACATTCATGGACCGCAACCTCGCGGACGGGATCTCAGAAATGTAGATCCAGCAAACGGGTCCCCATCCAACCTCGAAGGAAACAGCAAAGAAAAAGATGAAAGTAAGGGCGGCGTAGCCAGCGGGAGGGATAACTTTCTCTGCCTTGGGCGGGTCAAAGTGGATGTAGAAGCCGATGTAGAACATCCAGACGACCATGATCACCGATGTGTACAGCAGGGATTTTCGGCGGCCAAGTGAATCTGCCATGAAGAGGAGGAAAAAGATGACGCCGAGGACCTTGATGATACCGTAGACACCAGTGGCGAGCAGGCTATTCTGGTTACCGGTTATACCGACATTCTCGAAAACCTGGGGCGCGTAGTAGTTAATGGCGTTCGTTCCCGTCATCTGCTGGCAAATCATGAAGCCGATACTAATGAGGACGCGCTTTAGGTTTCCGGGAATGGTCCACATTTCCCTTTGGAGGCTCCAGAACGTTTCGCCGCCGATTATCAGGCGTTCATGCTCTAGTTAGGTAGCCATGTCATTGAATTCTTCCTATAAATACGAGTGTTCCATTAGGAGCTGCCGGAGCGTCTGGAGAGTGTCTTTAGCTTTATCCCATGGTCTTGCTTTGCGAGCCAGCGGGGTGACTCGTTGCAGAAAATCATAGTGAAGAAGAGAAGAAATGGGGGGATTGATTGCATTCCGAGAGCCACACCCCATTGAGCATCGCCTTTGAGATGAACGAGGCAGCCGTACTAAATATAACGTTAACTCTTCATGTATTTCCATATCTGGCGACGGGTCTTACGTTGATCCAATAACTTAACATGATGCCGACGACAGTAAACAGTTGATAAAGCCCCGTCACAGCGCCCGAATGGCACGCGGTGAGTTTTCGGAGATGTACTCTTGGATCTGTTCAGTGGACTTCACTGAAGGTCCAGGTAGGATCTCAGTTGGTCTGGTTTCCGAGTGCCCAGCGCGCGATCCGGATCGACTCAGTGATTGTCTCAAGATCGGCTGCATAGTCACCAGAACCTGCGTCGAACTATAAAGGATGGTATTAGCAGCGGTATGTGAATGGAATTTAAATGCTTACATAGTTAAAGGAGATCTTGGGGGGGTCTCGGGGGTCGGCTGACGCCAGCTTCACAGTCCCAGCTGTGTTATGTGGATGCGCTTTCAGGAGAGCGCAGGTCCAGGCGTTTTTTGCGGCCGTAGCATCGACCGAGTATCCAGGATAGTAGCCACGGAAGTTAAGGGGCCCGCCAAAGGCCAACTCATCATAATTACCGTTGGGCGACGGGCTACTCTTGATGAACATGGTGGCGACGAAGCCGTTAGAGACATATGTTCCCTTAGTGAGTGCAATCTTCCCATTGTGCCATTTCTTGAGACATAGCATCAAAGAGGTTGTAAAGCAAACGTCAAGACGCAAAACAGCCCAATCTATAAAGCAACGTGATCCAGCCAAGATAGCACCCAAGTCTTTTATATATGGGACACTGATCTGGCTTGACATCATCTCGTGCATCACAGCAACAACTACACCACATTTACTACTCAGCCATTCTACCATTATGGCTCATGATTCGCAGACCCAACTTAAAGATATTATGGGCTGCAAGAACTGGGTCATGCTTCAAATCGGCCGCATCGCTGTGCTGCACGCAGACAAGCTTCAAGCGTTGCGACAGGGACACTTCAATTGTGTGGGGTTTAAGCAGACTATCATCGATATCCATGGCTTCCAACAGCTTGGAGAATTAGACGCGGTCGTTTCGAGAGCTATGATAATGCTTCAACTTCTACCAGCCGTGGTCGCCCCATTGTATGTTATTGGGTCGGTGGCGAGGCAGGGAGACGAGCAGTTCTTCCGGGACATCCTTTCTTCTCCGCCCCTGCTCGATACCTCACTTAAACAACGGGCGAGGATCTTACCAGCTCTAGAAGATGTCTGGGATAAGAGGAGGGCCGAACCTACCTTTCTATTGGAGAGTACGAACCTATTCATGATATTGATATCCTACTTATTTAATGGGTGTTCAAAGCCAAACTCTTCCTCGCCATTGCGGAGGGGAACCTAACGTAGATAACTAGCTACAATTACGGCCTTTTATAAATAGAGGACAACAAGAGTTTAATTGTTTTGATTCTCAACAGCCACAATCATGACACGCATGATGTGCATTTTCCGAACCTAAGGTTGCAAATCTAAACCTTGTGGAAGACACCGCTAAAATAATCCATAGCACCCAACGGCACACCCAGGTGCCTCAAGATGCAGTACGCCGTCGACAAATGGAAATGAAAGTTCGGGATGACAAATTCACTGAGATACGCCTGCCCGCTCTCGAACCTGAAGTCGCCCATCTTCGACTGCATGATGATAGGCTCCTCGGCAGCCTTCTTCGCATCGATCTTCGCCGGGTCCACGGATTGGAGGATCTCGATCGTCTTGGCAATTCGGGCGCGGAGCTCGGGGAAGGTTGCCTCGTTGTCATCTAGGACAATGTTCTCTATGCCGAAGGCGCGGACGCAGAGGAATTTGGAGGAGTTGGACATAGCCTGGATTTGGAAAGGAAGGCTGTTTGTAGTTGCAAGATTAGACACGATCCAGGCGCAACACATGAATTTATAAAGTAGTATGACAGCTAGACTTACGGCTTCATGTCATCTCTCAGGCGAGCGGTGAGGAGCTCCTCGTGAGCGATGCCCTTCTCATCGGCATAGGCAATGGACTTATCGAGGATGGCAGAGAGGTTGTTGAGGTACTTGATTAGCACCGGGATGGATTGGTCGTAGAGGGAAGTCATATTGGAGATTGGTGGGCTGATGTCGTTGCGGAAAGTTCAATTTACTGGTAATTATTCTGGTGACTTGAGGAATAGATCTCTAGCTTCACTCTGGGGCGGACATCTGTCCATAATATAGAACTTTAGCACTCCGCTAGCGCTGACCCGCCATCTACCCCGCTACCCGCCGCCGCCATAGGGCAAAGATCGAGGCGGCAAGATCTGAATTTGTAATCGCCGGTAACCCCACACTTTTGACCCACCTTGGTTGATAATATGTAGCAATTGCCAAGCTTCCTTAAAACATACCTGTGCTGTTTATCGTTGAACCCATTTCATAACCAGATATAACAAAGCAGTCTACACCATAATACACAAATTCCCCAGCCAACCCCGAAAACCAGACATATCCCAGGTCATAAACCCATCCAATATCCCCTGTCCCTGTCCATCCGTAAATTCCACACCGCCCCATCAATCGCCAATTAACCCCCCAAAACCCTGTCCGTTCACTTCCTCGAAACACTGCTCCCGATACTACTCGAGATATCACTAATCTTATCCTTGACACTCCCAAACCCAAACTTCGACCAAAACCCACCCCCCCTAGCCTTCGAGCTAAGCACCGTGCTCCCCCCCACCGAGCTACCCCCCCACCTGTAGCTCCCGCTCTCCCACTTCGCCTTCCCGTCAATAAGCATACCCACCAGCTCAATGATGCGGAACGTCGTGCTACCCACCGCGCGGAACAGCGCGATCGCCGCCACAGACCAAAGCAGGAACTTGAGGTACGAGTTGCTCCCGATGTTCTTGCCCTGGTACGCCTCCGACACGGCCATGGCCAGGATGGCATTCGCCACCATCCACGAGACGACCATGTACGTGCGCACAGCGCGGTAGTAGTCCTCCTGTGCGGTCTCCTCGGATGGGCCGAGCTCGGGAACCTCGATGCGATCGCGGAGGTTGCGCAAGGCCTCGTCGTAGCCGGAGTCGATGTCGAGCTGCTCGCTGGGCATGTCGAGCTCGACGGTGGAGCCCTTGTGTTTGGAGACGGCTGTGCCGAGGTCGGTGCGAACGGTGTTGTCGCCCTTGGTTCCCCAGGAGATGTCGTGGGTGTTGCAGAAGGCGTAGATCTGGAGGGTGCAGATGTAGCTGGGCAGGAGGGCGAAGTACTGCGCCGCAGAGGTGAACATGTGCCATGGGTCGAGGTATAGGAAGGAGGAGAAGAAGTACAGCCCGAGCGTCGAGGCGATGGACACGGCGACGTTGGTGAAGATGTTGTTTCCGAGAGTTATGGTGTTGCTGGTAAACTGCCGCACGACGATGTAGATCGTCGCAAAGGTCGTGTATACCATGATGATTGCGTAGATGACCATACTAGAAAGGTACAACTTCTTCGCGCCCTGTGGCCGGTTGCCCATGGAGAGGATGAATTGCGTGCAGATGAGAAGCACGCAGACATATTTCAGGATATAGAAGATGTATTTCCCGATGCTGTGGCCAAACGGATCGACCTTGGGATCAGCGAGCGAGCCAGCAACAAAGTAGAACGTGAGGTAGAAGTTCGCCAGGGAGAAGAACGTGAAGAGCAGACTGAGCAGCTGGTACACGAATTCAATATGGAGGAGGATCTTGCGTGCGATGGTGTGGTCTGTGTTCCAGATCTGCTTGAAATGCACCAGAGAGTAGACGGCAGCGAAGAAAGCTCCATTGAGCCAACGGCGACGCTGGGAGACAAACTCGGGGACGGTATCTGAGGATTTATTAGCCAAATATTCGCCGGGAGTGATAGATAAAACTTACCAGGCACATCAGTCTCTCCCTTGCAGTTCTTGACATATTTCAACACCCATCTCTCATCTCGTTTCGCGACAAGCTCCCAGCACAGAATCCGATCTTCAGCAAGATACATATTGGCCGTGAAGACATCGGCATTCTGGCCGTGCAGAGTTTCACCCTTGAAGTACTGACTTAGCGGTCCATGGCCAGTATGGTCATTCTGCAGAGCGTGGTAACGATACGCACTGAGAGCACCAGGAAGGACAGTAATGTATCCAAACACCGACTCGAGCGGCTTATCCAAGATATTAGACATCTTGTACTCAAAATTCTGCGACGCAACCAGCGGGTTCAACAACCCAAGCCAGCCCTTCCCCTTCATCGCCACGATCTCTCCACAGGCACCTGCGACGTTGGAGTCGGTGTCAAAGGCCTTCCAGAGATGGTAAAGAGAATTCCCCGTCGGCTTCGTACCCACATCAAGCAGGATGCAGATATTCGGCGTCAGAGTGCGACCAAAAGCATTGAAGAACCAGCGATGAGAGTTCAGCTTCTTCGCGTTCTTCTCCTTCAGACAGAACAGCATCTGCACCGGCACGATTCCCTTCTCCGCGCCCTTGAACTTCAGGTCCGAGTCCAGCGACACCTGAGTGGTATACTCGTACACGTGCGCCTGCACCTCCTTCTGGTTGACAAGATTCTTGGCAATGCCGTCCTGGTACACACCCATCGCCGCGAGCGCATCGAGCGTGCGCGGGTGGATCTTCTGCCGACCATCAGAGACGATGCAGACGACAATCTTCTGCCACCCGTTCTCGCCCCACGTGCGCGACTTGGAGCGCGAGCAGAAATGGGCAATATTCTTCATGACGGCGTGCATGGTGCGCGTGAAGTTGATCTCGTCCTCGTTATACATGGTGATACAGATGAAGAGCTCTGTTTCCCTGGCCGTCGAGCCAATGTTCTGGCGCAGCTTGTAGCCCTTGGACACGAAGTCATCGGGATCGCAGGTCACGGCTGTGTATCTCATGTGCGTGAACTCAACCTCATCGCGGCGGGGGAGGAAACTGTACAAGATGGTGGGGATCTTGCATTCGAGGATAAGCTCGCCGTTAATGAGACGAACCTCCTTCTTGGCCATCTGTGCCTGGCGAGCACCTCTGCGCTCCTGTCGCCCATCTGGCGCAGGCCCGTAGTGCTCAAAGTCGGACTTCTCATTGTCGTACTCCTCGGTGAACGTCGACTCTGACGTGTAGGACTCGCGAGACTGGGACCGGACATGATCAGTACCGATAGTACTTTTCGGAGCAAAAACGTCGTCTCCTTCTGTTTCTAACGCGATCGAAACCGTCGCGTCGTCTGCGAATGTGGAGCTCCGCGCACCAGCACCCGGTCCAGAGAATAGTGGTGCGGGAGGGAGTGGTCTCCTCGGGCTGCCGCCGTATCTCGACGAAGGAGTGCCGGGTCTCGGAGAGCCATTCACATCCGCTGGCTCATATTGAGCTATCGATGGTGGCCTACCTCTCTCAGACGCTGTTTGAGATGGGGTCCACGACCGCGTCGGTGACTGTCTCCCGGTGTATGGGTCGTATGAGCTCTCCGGTGGTAATATCGGCGCTCCATCAACGATGGAATTGGAGCGCGAGCTCGTCGACATGACGGTAGGCTGGTATGATCTGCGCGGGGTGCTGGGACTATTGACAGGTAAGCTTTCATTCTTCATCTCACCGTTAGCAGCCAAGTGGGCTTTGACTTGACTCCGCAGCGACTTCCTGCGCGAGGGTCCATCAGGGAGTTTGGGGAGGAGATTCACGAAGTGGTCTTCTTGGGGGGGCTTCGGCGGCGCTTGCTTGGTCACCGCAGCTGGCAACTTGCCGCTCGAGATAGCTTCTTCTTCGCCATGAAGGGCAGAAATGTGTTCTAGCGTGGAGAACTGCACAGACTTCTTGTGCACCGCGAGAGGACGGGGTAGTAAATCAGGATCCTGTACATACATGCGGGCGTTCGAGGAGTTGGAGTCGTCCATTGATGTCAACAGGCGGATGGCGGACGCATCGTTCGACATGTGTGTTGGTGTTGATCCCTCATCATCACCGTATGATGGAGGATCGAAGTTTGGAGGTGTATTTGGGCGATACATTGTGCTTTGTGATTTATTGTAGCGACGGATATGCGGAGTGCCTCGTCAGAGGGAATGTTGTGTTTATGAAGCCCACATGCGTTTAGCGCAAACCATGCGAATGATGATGGTCTTCTTGGATGATGGCGAAATATAATGCTACTCAACAGTAGATCATATCCAGAATTCTCAAAGAGAATGTGTACTTTTGATATGAGGTTGTAATATGAATGGGTGTAGTTAGTGTCCTGATGGTTCCCGCAGTCCGGCGTTGATGAACCAAGCTCCAACATCGGTAAACGTTGCCTGGTTGACCTAGCAACGCCTTGGTCACGAAACAAACCACAAGCCACAAAAATACGCGCCCATCAATGAGTCTCACTTGAAATACATTGGATCAAAGACATTGGATCCAGTTTAATTATACTTGCATATATATCCCAATTCGCCAGGAGTTGTAACTTCATGTACATGCAAGTCTTAAATTTAGGTATAAGGAAACTATTCTTAAATTACTATGGCCTGTTTCTTGAAGAGTTCGGTCGACAACAGAGGTACGGCGGGACAATTGAAAGATCATTTTCATTCCTCGTGGGACAGGGCACGGCACGGCAAGAATGTAATTGGCAGCCCATCGGCCCGGCCCCCTCTTCTACTCGTCTCGATTCTACCTCCTCAAACTCCGCAAGGTACAAAAACTCCTGATCGTTTCCCTCACCCGAAGAAGGTTGGCGAGAGAACTTTGGTGATGCGGGAGAGTATAATGGCGGGTACCAACCGCCCACTGTGACGATGAAGGAAAAGGATGCCGGTGCGACGATCAGCTGTCATGTTGTATGTTACAAGGGCTCAAGATCAAGCGCTCAGATGGGTATCGTATATCGAGGCATGAGATTTGGTGGAAATTGTTGTCGGAATTATGTTCAGTTCCAGCCCAGGGAGTTCTCTGCCATCATTGGTCCGGAGATTTGGGCGGTCCTGGCAGAGTTTCCGGCGCTTCTTCCGCTGCCTCTGCTGTGTCTGTCGGCTGATGAATCGGAGCTCGATTCGTCAGAACCAGTCGATTGACGTCCGCCAGACATGTAGACACCACCGGGGAGGGCTGGGCTGCCACCGGTAGCTTCCATCATATCGCCGGGGTTCATGAGGGACCTCGTGCGGCGATGGGAAAGCTTGCGTCTCTTGTAGCGGCGGGCAATGAAGAACATGGCCGCACCGTACGCAGCAGCTGCAACGACGGCACCAGTAGCGATTCCGGCAGTCATACCCTTGGCGTCCGGTGTCTGGTTGTTCTCGTTTGTGTCGAAGATTCCACCGTTTCCATTACCACTGCTCTTACCGTCCGGGGTGGGAGACGATCGAGCACCACTAGCAGGGACTGCAGGGTCGGATCCATCGAGGCCAGAGCCAACGGTGATAGGGATGGAAGGGTTGATGCTGCTCATGATAACGGCAACAGGCTGCGAGGGGTTCTTGTAGAGGCGAGACACCGGGACGTGGATCATGATGTCGAGGTTGGATACCATCTCGGTAGGGATATATGCAAGACCAAGCGTGGTGATGAATCCGAGGCTCCTGGAAGTGTCGTAAGGCTCCAGGCTGTGCATTATGACGTCCGACTCCTGAATCTCCAGCCCGTATGCGATACCCTTGGGAAGGTATGTGAAGATTTGGGCAGAAGACATGGAATTGGCAACGACGAATTCGTAGTTCAGCGCGTACGTGAATCCGACTTGGATCAGAGTGTATCCCACCTTTGCGGTTGGCACGCCGGTAAGAGGCGCGACTACCTGAGGCAAGGTGCTTGGGATTCCGCTGGGAATCGCCACGGTGGTGGTTGCCTTTGGGCCGGTCTGAGTCGTCTGGATCAGGATGGATGATCCAACCCAGTCAGATGTAGTTGGAACAGCTTCGGTAGTAGCAGCAGTGGTGGTCGGGGCGGTCGGGCTGGTCGGGGTGGTCGGGCTGGTCGGGCTGGTCGGGCTGGTCGGGCTGGTCCTCGGGATATCCGTTAGCGAAGTAGGCTTCTGCGTGGTTGTAGGAGGGAGCACAATGGCTGTCCCATTGTTTCTGAGCGATGTGGTGTCGCCTCCCGTCGGGACAGGTGGAACGCGAATGGTTGTGGAGTTGGTTCCTGATCCTGTTGGGAATACGGTACCTCCAGTTTCGGCAGTTGCTGAAGAGATGATGCTAGAAATCATGCTCTCCAGACCGGTCGACGATGCTGTCGGGGTTTCCGTGGAAGTGCTTGGCGCGAATGTCGTGGTGGCACCAGTGCCTGTGCCAGTGCCCGTGGGGTCGGGGTTAAGTCCGCCGACGAGAGAGGACAGGAGACCGCCGTCGGACGAGCTGGAGGGGCTGAGAGTCTGGTGATCAGGGTCTTTGGTGTCAGTCGACGAGGAAGCTCCTGTTCCTGTGCCAGAGTATGTCATTCTCAAGGTAGGTGATGCCGTTGTCTCGGGGGCGAGGACACCGCTAGATCCCAAGACACCGCTAGATCCCAAGACACCGCTGGGGGCGGTAATACCATCAGTAGCGGACGAACGCGAGGGATTGGGGTCCAAGACCGAAGACAGGCCTGGGGAAAGGGTGGGGAGAACAATCAACGGTGGCTTCACAGCCGTAGTGGCAGCGGCACTCGACGGAGGAGCCTGGCCTAGTGTGGTTGTTTTACCATTGTTGACAAGGACGGTGTTGGAGACGATGACAGTCTTGACAACCCCAGGTGCGACTCCCTCGACCGAGGGCGCGACGGATGCGACGGGTGCGCCCGTCTCGGGTGCTGAGCCTCCAGTCGCAACGCCGAGGAGGTCGCCAAGGAGGTCGGGCTTTGTTGAGGAGCTCGAATGTTCGACGGAGTTGGACGTGGTGTTGGAAATCTCACGCTTGACCTGTCGCGGGAAGTAAAACTTGGGCCTGTCCTGTGCAACGACGTTCGACGAGAGCAGGGCCACGACGGCCACAAAGATTGATGGGGCGTGCATGATGGCGGTCTATATATCGATCGAATGCGTAAACGATTTTTGAATTGCTAGAAGGCGAAGACTCCGGTTGGAATACGTCGAAAATTGGGCGCTGTAACTAGAGGGACAGTCAGCACGGAGACGACAATTCCAGATGCGCTGGTGGTGACGGACAGCTGAAAATATATCGATTGAAACGAGTGTAGATGACAGTAAATGTCAGTAGTGAGTGTATCTGGATCGAAGCGTCGTAAGCAACTATCCCCACAAGCACCAGTCATATACGGGCTCAAATGAGGCTGGCAGGGTCATGGCAACAACAGTTTCGCGATGTTTCCCGACCGCAGATGTATCCTTCGGACTGTTTTGTTGATCCTTCCACGATGCCTCATTTGAGCACAGCGACGGGGAAGTTATCGACTCACTTGATAAGGTCAACGAATGGGACCGGGTTTCCAAAGGATTGACAGACGATATAGATCGTGAAAGAGATTCGAGGTGGTGGATTATGGTAGTGGATTATGCGACAGGTAGTTGTATTGGCAATTGAGGGATTAAAGTCATGAAGCGTGTACCATTATCCACCGGACCCCCTAGGGCCTCGTTTGCGGGAGAGGTTGAAGGGCGACCGAGATGGGAACTCGTCGATGCGGGAGGTGATAGAGAGAGAGAGGAGCGACGGTGAGGTGTGAAGTCGTGGAAGAGGAGGAGGAGGAGGGGGGGGGGGGGGGCACGTTGGCGTTTGGCGTCGAATAATACGTAGAGAGAGGGAGGAGGGATCGAGACCAAAACCAAGGGGGGAGATCGGTTTTAGATGTGGTAGGAGTACTTGAGATGTACCCTTAGGAGATGGTACTTGAGATGTACCCTTAGGAGATGGTACTTGTGATGTACCCTTAGGAGAGGACGGCACGGGTGGGTAGTGGGCAGGGTAGGAGCAGAGATTCAAAGGTACACCAATCGCAACGCGCCATCAAACCCACTTTAAGTACCGGGGCATCTCTTGGTATCGTATCCCTGCACTAATCCCTGTCGAGATGGCTAAGCGATATTAAAGGATTGGTTGATCAGGGCCCCTATTCGTCGGCGGCCAGAATAACAATGGTACGATGGGTTTGTACTGTACAAGATTACAGGGGTAGAGATACCCCTGACTCACATCCCTAACCCTAACCCATCTCTACTCTCTGACATGGTGCATGTCACCACTAAAATGGTGCATGTCACCACTAAACCAAGCAAGAAGCAAGGGGAAACTGCCCCGTCACTGTCCTGTCTGTAACTGTAACTGTGTTTCCTCCGTTTCCTTCGTTTCCTTCGCCTACAGAGTATGTACAGCATGAACCCCCTGGGTACCTGCTGTATACCCGGAAATACCAGCACTTCCCACCACCTCCCAGCGGTACTCGTACAGTACCGCCTAGACCATCCCCTACTCGAGTATCCCCCCCTATACCCGCGACAGTGGCGGGCGCCGGCGTTGCAACGAGCTCTGCGACGGGGGACTTTGGCGACTTTTTCCCCCTAGTGCACACAGCCCAGTGCACACAGCAAACCCCAGCCTTGCTTGGGAGAACTGCCCTCCCCGTTTGCTCGGACTCGACCCCCCGCCGTGCGCACGGAGCCATCTGTTTCCATCCCTTTGAACACGCGAATTGGGCCATCAGAGCCAACGCACCGTCATATCCCAGCTATTATCGTCCAAGACAGGCGAGAAAGCCGAGCGCTAGTAGAGCGAGATAAGTTGGCTAGGCCCGACGCACCAGCCTAGACTGCGCCATCCCCATTAGGCCAGCAGCTGCGATGTGGTGTAGCTTTAGCCTAGAGTAGTTAGCTGCTACATATAGCTTACTAAACATGATAGTAGACGTGTTAGAAAGAACTAGATACATGCACTATTAGCAAGTTTAATGCGAAGATCCTAACATGTATAACATATGGTTTTAGCTTGTACGAAACATGATTAACAAATATAGGATTTATAAGGGAGACATATACAACTTTAACAAGATAGGATTTTTAATAGGCTAAATATCTTCCAAGATGGTTGTAACAAATGCTAAACAAAAGAGCAGACCTCATACAACATAGCAAGGTAATAGGGAATAGATTATAGTGATTTAAGGCATTAGATCGTATAGATATACACTACTGCTATTTATTATTGTTATAGGGAAAACCCACCTTTCGTCTTAGTATAAAAATGCTTCTTTGCTACTAGATTAGGTTATTAATATTACGTTAAATAGCTAGCTAACAAATAAGCAAGGGCTTAATTAGATTAAGCATTTGATTAATATATAAGAGGTTGTATAAAGGGTAGATATCAACTTCTAATTCTTAACAGGCACAAAAGTCATCACTTAATTGAATTTAAGATGTATTATAAGGACTAGAATATTATTATTCTTTGTATGCTAACGTAACGTATGGGGTAGTCGGACATACGGGGTAGTCGGACAAAAATGCCCGACTACCAACTGAGAACCTTCATATCTTCCACCATGAACATCCCACAACCATACAGTCGTGCTCAGATTGAAGACAACATCCAAAAGGCTGTCATTGCGCTCCAATTGAAGGAATTCAAATCAATTAGTTGCTGCAGACCACTTCGAAGTTCCTAAGTCAACTCTTGCTGATAGGATGTCTGGGAAGAAAACGCATGCTGTAGCTCATGAAATTGAACAAGCTCTCTCAAATGCAGAAGAAAATACACTAGCACGATGGATTACACGTCTCACTGCCACGGGTTTTCCTGCAACTCCTATGTTGATCAAGGAAATGGCTGAAGAAATTCGCGTACGACGCGTCCAAATCGCGTCTTCTCAAACCACTCTTCGGACCAATACTACCCCCATAGGCCATGAATGGATCTATAGATTCTTAAAACAACATCCAAACTTTAAAGGGGTCTACTCAAGACAACTAGAGTCTGCACGACATAAAGAAGCCACTCCTATAAAGATTTCAGCTTGGTTTGACGCGTTTAAAGCACAAATTGAAGAGCGAAAGTACAAGCCATGCAACATCTATAATATGGATGAGACAGGTTTTGCAGTTGGAGAGACTCAATCCATGCGAATAATTGTTGATTCTACCTTGAAATCCAATTGGAAGGTCACAGCTGGGAAGCAGGAGTGGATAACTGTACTTGAATGCATTGATGCAGATGGTGGTGCTTTACCACCTATGATTATATTCAAGGCTAAGAATACCAATTCAAGTTGGATTCCAAAGGACACCCCTACAAACTGGCACTTCTCAACAAGTAATAGTGGCTGGACTTCAAACAGTCATGGATTTGAGTGGTTGCGGAAGGTATTTGAGCCTAAGTCACGCAAAAAGTCTGGAAATCACCCGCGAATGTTGATTATGGATGGCCATTCTAGTCACATTACTGGCGATATGATTGCACTGTGCATTGAGAATGATATCGACCTTCTTATTCTACCGCCTCATTGCTCTCATCTACTCCAACCACTTGATGTTGGGGTGTATGGACCTCTTAAGCGATTTCATGCTCAGGAAGTAGATCAGTATACTCGAGCAGGAATAAAGCGAATCCAGCGCTCCCACTGGGTTGAAATCTTCCAGTGTATTCGAGAGAAGGGTCTTATACCTCAAAACATTAGAAGTGGGTGGAGGGCAGCGGGTTTAATAGCATTTCTCCCAGAAAGAGTTCTGGCTAACCTTCCACTTCCACCAACCGAACCACCTCGCACTCCTCAAAACTCAACCAATATCACTATTCTGGATCTCTCAATACTCCGAAGTTCTCCTCCAGATGGAACTGAACTAAGGCATGCAAATTTAGTATTTAATTCAAGTATGGCAACTTGTGACTCTCCTGCTTCACCAACTCGACGCTATGCCAAGAGAATGACTAGGCTGGTTGAAAGTCAGAATGCTGAACTCAGCATCCTTCGGAAGGAGGTAAAAGAGTACAAAGAGATACTAAGGCTTACTGCATCTGTTGGTTGACTTTGAAGCGCAAGTCATCTAGCAAAGTTTCTTCAGAGTAATCAAGCTCTGTTATGAGCCTTTAAAACTCAGCCCAGAACACTGCAAAGGTGTTGTTTCTCTGATACAGCTTCCGATACTCAGTTTGAGCTGTGTGCCTTCGATTGGGATCACTGAAGACTTTTTCCAAAAGTTCAAGAATTTCTTCCGCTGTCTGCAGTTTGTTTGTAGAGTTTGGTCGAAGCCTTGGATTGACATGTCGAACTGCCAGTCCTCCCAGTCGACTCTGAATGTAGCTCATTTGTAAAGTCTGTGTTGGAAAATGATCAATGTTGGCTTCGAGATTGAGGCGAATTTTCACAACCCAGTCTTCAAATGATGGCTCTATCCCATCTGTGAGGATTGGAGGGTCTGGAATCCGAGCTGACAGTCGACTGTGAGAGTGGTGTCCTGGTTCATTCTTCAGAGCTTGTTGGGTTTGCTTTTCAAGATATTTCTGAATTGTTTGTTGCTCTGTGATTTGTTGCTCGTTGCTCTGGATCAGTTCCTGTAACTGGAGAATAGCATCATCCTTTTCAGCCAGTATCGAATTCGAGTCCTCTGCTAGGGCCAAATAGTTCCAAAGAATGTTCTTGTGCAAAGTCCATGCCATTTTCTGGTTGCTGACAGATAGTTTCTGGAATTCGTCAAAGGTTTCAACATTCCATTCAACCTTTTCATGTCGATTTGCAAGTATAGATTCACGTCTCTCTTGAGCTGTTCTGCCCAGAGTGTGAAGGAAGGTTTCAGATTTGAAATTAGGATCATGAAGTTCATCGGTTTGGTTTGCAGAACTTGGAATTGATGCTCCTTCTGCCAGGAATTCCTGGTCTTGTTCTGGATTATTTCGAGCTGCCATTGCAGCTTTTTCTTCAGCTGTATCAGCCATAGCGAGTTACTATTTCAATTTCGGTTCATATTGTCAAGTCAGACACATATTGCCAAAGGCCCTATTGTGCAGTTGTCGGCTGTAGGAGCCACTCGAGAGGAGCGCACTTCCCTCACAGTTATATCCTTGTTGAGGGAGCATTGTAAAAGGTCTGACTTGCGAAGGTGGTGTGTGTGTGTCGAGCTGACTGTCAAGAGCCAACTTTGAGGGGTTGCCTCAAGATCGTCCTGGAATTGACTTCAGGATAAGGTTTCTGGTTCTGGGGTTTCCAAAGAATGCATTTCGATTTCGATTTCGATTTCAGAAGAGGGTTCAGCTCGAAGAGCAGGAAAAGAGGTATAAGAGAGGTTGAGTTTTATGTCACTGTTCACCAACGTGTAATGGTGGGTGCACCAGATGTGAGAATCTAGCCACCCAAGGAAGGGAGGATTTTACTAAGACAACACACTGTCTTAGGAAACAGAGCCAAAGGGTCATAGCTTAGACTATTCCACAACGTAGTAATCAGGTGTATGATATAGTGGAGTGGTTTAGACAAGTTATAACAAATGTTGAGTCTGAGAACTCAGGGATAAGTCAGAGGTTAGCACCCCACTGACTTTTCAGAAACAAGGAGTAACAAGATCAATGCTTGGAAGCTTGGAAAAGACGTGGAAGTATGTGATAGTCCATTTACTGTATTGTCTGCTTGCCCTTTCTTAAGGAAAGGGCAATCCTATTTACGCTAAAGGAGTGTAGTTCTCTCATTTTCCAAGACTTTCCATGACTAACCAGGCTTGGTAACTGTAGTCGACATAAGAGAACCCATAGAACCATCTC